GCAGACGGGTATCTGAAGGCCCACGCGGCCGTGGGGAGAGAAACCTTGACGTTTTGCCCTGCATCCCTGTGCACACATTCCACCTTTGAGCCGTGCAGAATATCGAGGACTTTACGGGGCTTTCGTGAGAAACTTTGCTCCAACGTTCCGGATCCACTTTACCGATCTACTTTTTTGGGGAACCAGTGGGTTTGGCAGTCAGGTAGTCCATGTTTTGAGACATTTCAAAGTCGATTCCCTTCGGTTTTTATCCCCGCTTAGCTCATCTGGAAGAGCGTGAGACTGTAATTGATAAGTGGCTATCTCAAGGCACGCGGTTCGATCCCGCGAGCGGGGACTTTAGGCCGCATGTTGCCTGTTTCTCGCATTAAAATTCTTTTTTTTTTTTCAAAACTTTTCAAAACGTTATCAATACCAAACATAGTCTCACCGTGGGTAGAACAAAAGGCGCTCTTTCCTTCTTTTGATGAAATAGCTTTTCACGTTCTTGAGTTACATGATGCGAAGAAAAGATGGTTTCAAAAAAAAAATTCTCGACTTTGTGTTAACTAAACGCAACCCATTTTCTACAACAAACACTTGTTGGCAGTTGCCAAACGACAGCATGGCTGTTTGCCTGCAAGAAATTGTATGGAACGTAATCTTTTAATGATGTATAGTGAAGTGTTGTTGTCGCCAAGAAAACCTGTTAGATTTGGCGAAGAGTATTTGGTTCAAGGGAACGCGGGACAAGAGTGGTTTTTTCTTCTGGCTGGACTGACGCGTCGCGTCGTGCTATTCTATTACACCTGCCTGTTACCCTCAGCTCTGCTTTGTAGTTTTTCACTCTTTCTTTATTAGCTTTCCTTTCTCTTATTTTTCTAATTTCAGTTTTCCTTTGCCGTGTGTTCAAACCAGTCTTCATTTGGCGAGCACACCTTTCTATTAGCTTTTCTTTACTTTCTCCGACCCTCCCTTCCCTCGTTTTGCTTCCTTTATCACGTAGCTCTTGTTATGAACTAGGGTCTTTGTTTGTTCGGGATCTCCAAAAAGCCATTCACAGGGTATTGTGAGCTCGGATGGTTGGGAACGTATCTCGGTTCTGGCTTTGCCCATTTTTCCCCCCAAGAAAACCAGATTCAGTTCAAATGTGGTAGGGTCCGCATTATTTTCACTAAACAGGATAACTCAGCGAGCAGCTTATTTATTTCACCTCGTATTTATCACCACTGATTTATACATAGTTCTCGTGCATACTCAATCTTTGAAGAGTATCTCGTGTTGACAACGGAGGGTGTAATTCTAAGCATTAAAAAACGTAAACGCAGTCAATACCATATTGTTGCGGGACGATTTTTTCTTTCGTAATAGGAACATAACAAAGGTGGCCAAGCTTTTTGAAGCAAGTTATTTTGGGAACTATATTACAATGAATCATCCGAAGCACTGCTTCTCACTTTATCTTTCTACCGTCCAATTCCTCCTCATCGTCATTTACCTCCTCATCATCATCAATCTCCTCATCATCACCACTCTTCACTACCATCTTCTTTTTCAAATCCATAAAACTAGGACGGACCGAAACCCCAACACCCCCTGCCGACAACACCGTAATCTCAACCCCTCTAGGTACATAATCCAAAGTAACCCAACCAAGTCCACCAAAAGCAATATCAACAGCCTCCGATTCCCCTAAAACAGGTTTATAAAAAACCAATTTCTTAACAGCTTTCAATTTAGGAAAATTCAATGCTCTTTGTTTTCCAATTGGTGGAAACATAATTTGAGTGTTGGTGCCAAGATGTAATCCATATAATGACCATTTTTTGTTATCACGACACATATGAATTGGCAACGCATGATTGAAATGTGTTCTGACACGTGCAAATGTTGTCGAGTTTCCACCTGTCATGTCGATACGGGCAAGACCGCCAATATACATGCAACGACCGGGTGCGATTTTGTATTTTTTAGAAGCGAGAGAGTTTGATGGGACTGCGATTCGCATTTCTTCGTGGTTTAACAGCGAGGTGAGTTGTTGGCCGCTGAAGATTCCCGGAGTGTCATATAGATTGTAGGTGAGGTTATGATTCCGAGTATCGTCTTCTTTAACTTTCAATGATGACGGTACAAACAATCCACCAAAAGTTGTCAATGGAATTCCAATAACCCCAATCGTAGTTCCAGGATATAACGACACGGTAGGATGTAACTTGCTCGAAACATCACCATCCCTCCCCGTCATTTTAAACAACGCCTTTATAAATTTCGATTTCCCAACATTCGGTCTACCAACTAAAACAACGTCACCCATTTCACCATGATCACCTTCCCATTTCCCCAACCTCTTAACACCATCAACAATCTCCAAAAGTCCATCACCCGATTTCGCACTAGCAAGAATCAATTCCCATCCAGCACCTTCGTTCGGATCTCCAAGCATCCGTTTACATTCATCATACAACCATTTCTTTAATTTACTCAACACCACATGTCGTGGTAACGCATCAATCTTGTTTGCAACAATAAGGATAGGTTTATCCGATCCCACGAATCTTGTTAAATCTCGTACAAGACTTCCCGGAAGATCCAAAGAGTCAATGACATTGACAATGACTGTTGATTTTGATGAACGGATTCGAATGGCGCCAAAGAGGTCTTCAAACGTTTGTGGATTGGTGCTTTGAACAACGTTATTTAACGACTCCAAGGCTCCAGGAGTGTATACCTCTGCTTTCGAAGCCTGCAGATCAGGATCTTCTGCATACCGCTTTCTTTGATTTTTCAACCGAGATTGATCTTCAGGTGTTGATCCATACTGGTTGAAATGTCGTAACTTGTGACAATACTGACATGTAACAACTTCATCCTGATCCACGTTCAAACTCTTGCTCGATTCGGCTATCAAACTAGGTGGTCGATATCCAGCCGCCAGCCCACCACCTTCTTTTCGAAGCAACTCCTTTTGTCGTGTCTTTAGCAATTTCTTAAGTTCGGAGGGTGTTAATGCATCTTTTTCAATTGATAAGGCGTCTTCTGGGATTGCTTTTGAGAGGATGCTGGGGAGTTTCGAGATTGAGTGTACTGACTCTGGAGGTTTTTGGGAACGAAAGTTGGGTGGAAGGTAACCTGGGTTTGATGGTTTTGTGTGTTGAAAGGGGGCTCCGCAACCTTATTTTTTATTGAAATTGCGAAAGAAATGGGAGGAAAAAAAGGATGAGCGTTAGAAAAAGTGACTGCTAGAATACGAAGAATCAAGAAACAAGAATCGTGAAAAAGCTCGAACCTGGACACTTTGGTGCACCAACATATTTCCTTTTCACAGCACCAAATTCTGTCAAAGGTGTTGATCCAGACTTTCGTGTTGCCATTGCATTTCCTGAAGATGATGATGATGATGACGTCGTTGCCGTCTCAACCACTACAGTCCCAGGCTCCTCTGGTTTTACTTGATGTACAAATTCTGGATCGAATAGCTCCTTTGTTGCTCCCCAATAGCGTGAAATGTCCTCTGGTTGAAGTTGTTCAGTCTTCTCTAGTTTTAGCGCTGGGCTGTGTGGATCGTCTTCCATGAGTTTGGTTGGATCAGGGTCAGTTTGAGAGTCGTTGTTATTGTTGGCGGTGCTTGATGGTGTTTTTGTGGAGCTGGATAGACAATGTTGTTGGCTTATTCTCATTCCAGCAGTTGCAGATATTGGCTTTGAGGACATTGTGATGAAGGTATGAAACCTTGAGAAGTTTATGCGAGATGGACATTGTACAGATCGGTGATTGTTGGTTGCAATACGGTTGATGATGGTTGAATGCGAGGATATGGACTTCCTCATTGCGGGTTTGATCGCCCTCAATACCATTGTTGGATCTGTCATGATCAGTTCTGGCAGACTTGTCAAACGAAAAAGAAAAAAAGAAAACCGGCTGACAAGTCCAAATCACTTGTCCAAACTAGACAATCGCATTCTCTGAACAAGATCAACTCGCTATTTTTCAATGTGAATAATAAGGAGCTTTAGTTATCCAAAAAGCAAGTTTTATTATTCACGAGCATGCATATCTGTCTATAATAATATTTCTCATGATCGCACAACAATGAAAAACTCCAGACCCAAACTCCACCACTCCACAGCATCATCCCATCACCCACTCCTCGGATACGTACAACTCTTCACCCTATTACTCCAAAAAGCCTCAACAGCATAACTCTTCCCAGGACTCATAACCATCCTAGCCGGCGGATTTCCCGTTGGACACAAATCACAAACCTCCCCACCAACCTGTAACGATTGACTTCTATCAAACCATCCAAAAGGAGGTTTCGGATCAAGTAACGCCTCTACCATTTCATGGGACGCTGTTATAGTAAGTGCGTCAAATTCTGATGCCAAAGTTTGATGTTGCGATGGTGGTAATACGGCACATGATGATGTTGATGGACAGTTTGGTATTATACCGTATACGAGAGTTATATTGCGAGATGTTGATGTGAAGGCTGTGTGGAATCCACAAAAGTCTTTACAGGAGGTGCCTAATGATGGGTCTGTTACTTGGAATGTGAGGGGGAAATGGATTGGGATGTAGGTGTTTTCGTCGATTTGGATTGTGTCTCGTTCGATAAGTGACCTGTTGTATTTTTTTTGTTGGGAAGATATGTTTCATAAGATATAGTAGTTACGTTAAAATCAACAAGTATAAAGGGAAGGGTTTTACTCAACTGTAACCAGGTTGCTATATCCGCCGTTTTAACGCTCTTTCTTCCAGGAATTGATTTAAATCGTAGACTTTGTCGAACCACTCCCGTGCCAACTTTCATATTCCCATGATCATATTCAGATACTATTCCCATTTGAAAACATACTAATTAGTATTTACCAATAAAAGCAGAAAACAATATTACATACACAAACTCATATACTCCGATTTAACAAAATCCTGATAAAACTGATCCATTTCTTTCCACAGTCTAAACTCTCCATAATACATTGGCTGAACTTTAATATTTTGTAAAATACTACCATTATAATACTGAAGTTGCGGTGGTAATATTGTCAGATTCTGTGATTTTAACGCATTGGGTGGTAGTGATGAACGTTGATCACCGCCATCATCTTGAAAGAAATCGTTCTCGTTGTTGGAGTTGTTGTTGTCGATTGTTGAGTCAGATGTCCATGCCCATGGTCGTTTGAAGCCGTAGGATCTGTTTACCCAGTGTTGTATTGATGAAGGTTGCTCAGTGGAAGGTGTTGATAGTGATGATGATGTAGCCAGAGATGGATATAGGAAGGCATGGGTGAGCAAGTAGATGTTGGATGTTAGCATCGCTTCTTCTCGGGGTCGTATCAGCTAAATAGAAATGGTGTT